TCTCTTTGCTTGTCTTTGGTGTTGCTTTGGCGCAGTGCTAAAGTACCGCCGCCGAGCTGCTCACCGGCTCCATTGTCTGTTTGGCGTGCGTTTTGCGTACCGTTTTTTCCTTGATCAGCACATTGATGTCTTTGCTGCTGTTCGGCGTCAGACCCAGTTTTGGATTTTGTGATTGCTGCTTCTGCGATGCCTGACCGTTCTCCAATTGACTTTCGCGCGCGGTGTGATGATCAGCACGTTCTGTGGTCTTCGTGGGTCTCTTCTGTCTCGCGTTGTTGCGGGGGCTGCTTTTGCCTTTGGCAGCTGCAAAAAACGGGCCCCAGACGTGGTGTGATCTGATTTGCCCAATGTTTGTGCACAACCCAAGTGGAGCCCAAATAGAGATGATGTCAAATGAAGGGTGATTTCTCTGAAAAAACATTAGTTCGGGGGAATTCTAGAATCACAGTTTTTCATTGAGAACAGGTGAAATCATTGGCAGGCACATTGAAATCAAGAATGGTGAGCCTTGAAAATCACTGGCGTGATGACCTATTTGTTTGGGGTCCGTCTGACCGATTGCTTGCCTCTTGCCTGCGACCGGCATCCCAGCCTGCCTTCTCCCTTTATTCGATTATTTGTCTGTCGGTTTGCCTGTTTACGCTGGGCCGTCAAACGTGTTATTGCAGCAGGACGAATGTTTATGACTCTGACTTGTCTCTGCAAAGCCGCGTGGATCGCCTGCGGATCCAAGTGCCCTCTCCGTTTTACACTGAAGGGAGTGGGGTGGTGAATTCTCACCCGCCCTGTGAAACTGAAATGCTTTAAAGGCTTTGGAGTGGACATTCGACTGCGCGAAGGACACGGCAGCAAGCAGGATTCTAGGAGGAAAGGGTTGTGTTCCTAGGAAGTCCAAAGAGGTGCAACTTTCATCGTGGCAGTCTATGCGGCGGATGACGCAGCAAATTCAAGTTGTTTTTTTCGTCTTATGACGAAGGGCATCGTAGCCTGCTGAGTTCCATTGCTTTAGCAAGCCTACGGGCAGATCCCAGACCTTTCCTGCAAACCGCCGATGATAGCTGCACGGGCCCAGCATTCCTTTGAGAAACTACGGCTCATTCAGCGCTGACTGTGGCTACTTGTCGTTCATCCCCTCTCAAGTCAGGTCTGAACTGTGTTTTTGGCAATGTTTCAGCAGCATGTTTTCTTTCAGCTTCCCACGTTTGAGGTAAACCTCGCCGTGCTGTTCATTTTTTTCCTCCACGGGTTGGGTTTGGAGGCGATGCCCGTCCGACTCGCTACACCCAAGTAACTCCGGCCATCGACCTGGCCTTGGTCTCCTCCTCAGCCTTTCGAATTTGAGCATCGATGCTGAACATCAGATCAGGTTGTTGCCTGCATGCACGGAACCTCCGGACGCGCCTCGAAGGAGCTTCCCAGCCCGGCACTGAACGCCGGTTGTCTTGCGGGTCAAGCATGTGTAATTGTGCTAGAGGTGGTATTGGGGAAACCGTGCCAGGTGTGGTTTGGAAGTACTTGCGGCTGGATTTGTGTGTCACGGAGGAGCGGGTGGCACAATACAGTCGGGTCACGTTGAGAGTTTGGCATCCAGAAGTCTTTTGGACTTTGGCGCTGGCAAGTTGGGCTCCTTTCAGGCTCTGAGCAACTTCGAGCACCGTCCTTTGCGGCGATCGCAGCTGCACTACGCGCCGGGCGCACAGCAACGCGCGGCGAGCGGCGAGCAGCTGCATGATGCGGTCAGCTTTGCATGGCTTTGCAGGATCACCCTTGCTTGGTGCCCTGTGGTGATTCTGCACGCCTGCTGCGCGCATGGCGTCATTTCAAAGGAGGTGGTCGCAGCCTGAAGATGTTGATCTCACTGGCACGTGAGCGTGGAATTGGTTTGGTGTCGGCAGCCTGTGCCGAGGTCCTCAGCTTGAGCTTGAACGTCAGCGGATTCGCTCGCTCGGTGTGGGATGAGGTGACATGTTTGCACTTGGTTTGGCCTTCTTAATGCTGTCTGCTTCCGGTTGGGGGGGGAGGGTTCAAAGGATTTTGCGAGGCCACAGCCATGCCTGTGCTACCCCGGTGCAAAACAGGAAAGCAAGCACAAGCTGTGTAATGATTTGAACACCTCCACACACCGTAGGTTTTAACCCCTCTGCCATCTGCCTCCTGGACAAAGAGAACAAACACCACCCCAAGTGGGGTCCTGCATGTTGGATCACAGGCCCTATTTGCTGGCAATCTAACTGAACCTCTTTCGCCAGATCTTCTGGGCGCGGCCGCACGATCCGGCAAACGCAGCAAGCTCCCACTCTCACGTGCAAGCAGCCGTAGCCAGCCAAAAAAAATCAGCAGAGTTCTCGGTCCATTCATTTACCCAGCTGCAACATTAGTGGTGGTTTGCTATTCGACCACCTTCTGAAATCCGACACTTTTCGGTTGCTTTCCATTGACTTAGGTCATGCACACCATTCAATTCAGCGGTGCCGCAGCCAGTAGCCCATTGGCAGGCAGGTGAAGCGCGCTTGACATGTCATCCCGAAATCAGAATGGGAGATGTTTGATTGAAAGATATGGTTTGAGTTGTTTGTGCTGGGAGTTGTGTTTTTAGTAAAGAAACTTATCCTTCAAGATTCACGGTTGCTTGATTTGCTGTGTGCTGCCCCCCTTTAGATGTCCCCTGTAAATGTCCAAGGCTCGACACGACACTGGCAAAACCGCCAAACAAGATTGTGATGGCCCAGTGCAAGACACGATGTTCTGTTCAAAGCCGCCAGAACGATTCACCTGTCAAGTGTTCAGCTGAGCGGGGGTCAGCCCGGGCACGCCGAGCTCAGAGCTTGCGCAGAGAGAAAGCGCAGGGATCGCGGAGCTTACAAAGAGAGATAGTGCCAAGGGGCTTTGTGTTTCAGTTCTCAATGGAAGTTGTGGTGATGGTGGCTGCCAGAAATCTTGGCACGAGAGTTGCCTTGCTTGCACGCCCTTCTCCTCTTGTATCTTCTGCTGGTGGTGACAGCGAGCTGCGCTGCGGTATTCGCATAGCGATGCAAACAGACAGGCTTTGGATAGGCAAAGCAGGTAGAAGGCAGGAGGACAGGCAAGCACGGAGGCATGCAGGCAGGCAGACAAGGAAACAGATTAGCAGGCAGATGTGCTTCTAGATGCGCGGTTTTCACTTGGAGTTTTCACAAAAGACATGCGCCAGTGCGCGGAATGGCGAAGCCTGAGGTAAGTAGACCGAGTGAGACCATGCGCCCATATGTAGATGAAGAATAGAAAGCAGCCATGGCTAGAGCAAGGCCACAAAGCCTCCAGGAGATTTCGAGTGTGCCGCTTAATGCAGCGTGATTGGTTTTGCAGATTGACCGCCCAAAGCTGCGCGAACCGCATTGCGCAGATGTGCAAAAGCGCGAGGAAGGACAGAAAGCATGGGACAGAATCTAATGAAGGATACAACAATTTCAGTAACGAGGCCACACGCAGCGTCAAGAACAGTCCCTATTCATCTCATACAGCACCTGACCAGTGCTGTGGGTTGTTTTGAAGTCGATTCGTTTGTGCTCTTTCATGGTACTTTCTTCATCTTTCTTCCGTGTTACTCGCATCCTAGCTGGTGTCTTGCATCATTGTGGTCTGAGTTAATCGAGGCTGCCTAGGTCAGGTTGGGCTCGCCTCGTTTGTTGCGCTGTCTTTCTTTCTTTCTTTCTTTCTTTCTTTCTTTTTCTCTCTAATTCTTTCTTTTTCTCTCTAATTCTTTCTTTTTCTCTCTAATTCTTTCTTTCTCTCTCTCTCTCTCTCTCTCTCCGCTAGTTAAACTTTCACTTCTCAGGATGACGACACGCCTTTCGGAGCCTCTCAATCGCGAGCTGCTTGCTTGTATCATTACCGGGGTTTATTTTGGTACCGGTTTTTTGAGCCACAGCCAGAACATCAATGCACGTCGCTTGGCAGGGCCACGTTTTGCCGGTGTGCCAATTTTTGCCTGAGCCTCGGCAGGCAATCAAGGGGCCGAAGCCGAAGCGCACGGACGCAACATATGGGAGGAGCAAGCGAGTGTGGATTGAAGCGCAAAGCTGTCCTTTCACTCATCGTGTAGCCATGTCTGCAGGTGAATCAGGCAAGCAATCCTCAGAAATCTGATCGGTGTAGAACTGATGCAGGTCTGGAATGATGGTTAAGCCTGTAGGATCCTATATCCGTGGAAAAGCTGAAGGTTGACTGCACGAATCTGAGATGCGCGGGAAAGACTGGTCGATGTTGCGTGGAGCTTGCCGGTCCGACTGACAGCTTTTCGTCCTACTGCTGACAGATGAGGCAACCTTTTGAGGGACAGCCTCCGAAATGCCCAGGATCGGGCAAAGCAGTTGTGCTTGCCTGAGTTTGGGGCACATGTGCGCTTTCAAATAGTGGAAAGCTTGTGATGCATTTTACAGCCAAGGCTCTGCAACGTTCAAGAATCAGAGGACTTTCGTCGCGCAGTTCAGAGCTTAGTTATTGCCAGCAGTGCGAGTGCAGGCAGCTTTGATCTGAAAATGCTTCATGTAGGTTCAGACACTCTTTGACATTGACATATCCAAGAAGGAGTTGAAGGTGGGAGCGCAGACGCCAGCAGTTTGTTTGCTTCGGCTCTCAACGTTGCTGGCAGGCTCTCTATGAGAGGCAAGACAGCTACAATCCGCCCTGGTTTCAGATGCCGACAAATGACGATGTACAGCCAGTTCAATCTGAATGACTCAGAACACGTATCGGTAGCATTATTTTCCTGCGGATGGCTCACAAGTGCAGGGGGGTCTTTTTGCACCTTTTGCGAGAAAATGGGCAACCCCCTCAAAAGGAATCCTTCACTACGAGGGGGTCGATCATTTGTTCACGAAAGCGATGGCTCAAAGACCCCCTTGCACTTGTGAGCCATAAGACCAGACCGCAAGAGCCTGTGATCTGAATCGCGACGAGCCAAAAGCCGCAAGCCACCTGCGATGGGTCAGACTGGCCGGCGAGACAAGTCCCGTTCGAAGCGGCAGGAGCGGGCGTCCACGCTCACCACTCCGGCGGCCATTGTGGAAGCCAGGAGCTCAGCAAAATAATCCACTGCCCGCCTGGAACGGCATGGAATGCACACCTTGCTTTCTTTGGAGTGCTTGGTTGGCGCCGAGGCGATGGAGCAGGTCATTGTCGAGTTTCAGGCATGTGAGAACGTGTTCTGCAGTTGATGCTGGGCCGCATGCCTTGCGCAAAGGTTCCTCCGGAGCGGGAAGATCGAGTCCTAGATCAAACACGAGTGCGGCTGAAGCGAATAGTTGCAGAGGCCGAGTGCAACATGAATATTGGCAGTGTGAATTCTGAATGTTGAGGGCTTCCAGGAAAGGTGTAGCTCGTCGTTTCTCAGGCAGAGGAAAACTTGAGGAAGATGCTTGCCGAGAGTTCATCCACTCCCGCCATCGATGCCGTGCTGCTGGCAGAATTGCCAAGTTGAGTTTGCAAGCGATAACTATGATGTGAGTCACAATCAAAACCCGGGTAAGTAAAGGTTGGGAAGGGACGCCTTCTTAGTTCTTTACATGGTTCTGGGTCGACCATTTTTGTACCGGGTTTTGAGTATGGCTCATGTAGTGAAGAAGTTCGCGTGCGGACTAGTGGCCAGGTTGCTGCCCGGTTCAAGCAAGATTTCGGACCGGTGGCCAGTGTGGTGGAAGAGGAGATTAAGGCAGATATGGCTGTGGTCGTCAAAAATAGGGTAACCCCAAAATGGGTTGCCTTGGCAAATGGACACATGGACTAAAACCTGCGGTCCGATTGGTGGCTTAATGTTGACCCATACCCATATCAGTTCCTGTTTCTTGCAGCATGACGCCGGCAACTAGCTGCGATTTGGCATGAGCACCGAAGCTGCTTTGCATGGTCAGGTAGCTCGAATACGACGGGTACAATTCCTGGAAATGGAGCTGGAGGCTTTGCTCGGGGCATTTGGCACCGTGAAAATAAGTGACCATATAAGGGAAAGTGTCCTTCGGAAAAGTTGTTCGAGTGTACCTGTGTTGCGGCTTTTTTAAAACGGAGCTGAAGAGAGACCTCCCGATTGTGAGATGCAGTGGCCCTGCATTGATCCTTTGAGCCCCGAATTTCTCAGCTCTTTCAGGTCGGTTTAAAGGAACGCTTAACAGGACAAATATCTCCCACGTGTTCTGCCCGGTGACCTGTGCCCTTTGCAAACCGCGCCTCGCGGCTTTACCCCGTCAGACGCGCTGGTCCCGGCCCTTCGCCGGCCCGCTGCCGCCGCACTCGCGGGCAGCGCGGCGCTATGAGCTGGAGCTGGGCAAGAAGAATCCCAAGGCCGGGGCTCGCTTCAGGGGGCCCCTTAAAGAAATCAATTGAGGGAGGGGCCCCCTGAAGAAGGGAGGGGGTCCACAAAGAATTGAAGTAAATTGAGGGAGGGGGTCCATAGCTATTGGCCTGCGGAATGTGTACATTGACATGTGGCCATGGGTCCCAAGCCCGGTTAGCCCCCAGTGAACATCCCAATCCAACCACTAAAATAGGTTCTAAAATGGGTGGTGAATTCACCTACCCCAAAATGGTACCATTGGTTTTGAACCTTGGCCAAATGAATTGAGGGAGGGGGTCCACAAAGACAAGTGTTTTCAATTCATTCTTGGACGTCGGACATGTCAGCGGCGTTCCGCGAGCCGAACGGGCTCGCTGGGCGCACGCAGGTGATCGCCTTCGTGGCCGAAGAAGCACGCCATGCGGCCACGTTGGAGGCCAGGTCGAGGATTCCAGGCCGGTGTTTGGAAGTCGCAAGTATGGCTGGCTCAGGCGGATTTGGAGGTGGAGCTGTCTCAGCTCCAGTCAAACCGGCATGGTTGATGGTTTCTTGATACCATGCAGGGTCAATGGCGCTTGAGATGCAGGAGGATGTTTCCTTCAGAATTGAGCTGATTGTCTCATTGCAGGGCAAAGGTCAGAGAACTGACCAAAAAGAGAATGGAGGCACGAGCGCGGTCTTTAATCCAGGACTGACCTGGCATGTTGGCTCCATTGGCTTGTGCTTTGTGAAACTGAATGGGAGATGTCCAACTGAAGCTTCGATTGCAATTGGCTGTTCCCAGGACTTCGATGAGAAGCTGGCAGATGCAGCTGCTCAAGTTCAAGAGGTCGCCTCGCTTGGGAGATCACGCTTGGGATTCACACGCTTGGCATGCGCGTAATCCGCAGCTGTTTTCGCTGGGCGGAGATCTAGGCGGCAGCCCCGCAGTTTGGCTCAGACACCATGGACGCCTGCGCCACGCTCAAGGAGGCCTTCCGAGCCTTGGCTCCGCTCCAGGCGCGAGAGAGAGAGAGAGAGAGCCACTTCTCACCCAGCCAGTGGACACACTTTAAGCATTCTTTTTCCTTGGTGGCTCTCCCTGTATTTTAGTGGTGGCCCAAAAAGTGTACACAAGTGAGACTTAGGGGTTGCGACTTGAAAGCGACCTCTCAAGTCTCCTCGTGACGGGGGAAGTGTTCTCGACGTATCTTTTGGGTGGCAGGCTCGCTCTCCGGACCTTGTATGGCCTGAGGTCTTCCGAGACTTGGCCTGACGAAAAAAAAAACCTGCACCCATGCCCTTGAGCTGTTCATTGAGATCTCTCGCCTCAACTCGTTTTTTTTGGTTTTGCTCCTGGTAAGGCACGGGGAAGAAGGGGGGAGTTGAGGTCAGGGAGAGTTGCAGCTTTGCGTTGAACGTCGCGTGCAGAAAAGGTATGATTCTTTTAGCTGAAAGACTCTGCGAAGAATTTGCTGTGCAATTTGGGAAGCACGCCGAGAGATAGACAACAGCCCACACCAACAGATTCTGAGGATCCGACTTAACTTGCGGATGACTGGCGTAAAGTTTCGTGGTAACTTGCTGGACTCGGCGCAAAACGAGGCGGCGATAACCGTTGGATTTCTAGCCATTTACTCTTGGCACAGGAGCCCAATGTTGTAGCATGTTGAGACTCATTGCCAAAGCTAATTGCCCTCGGGCGAATGTTAGGAAAGAATATCAGTGTAGAGCACCTGGTGGGTGGCAAAGTTGGCCAGAGGGGCTTCGTATGCTCAAAATCTGGAGTGCCAACACGAGCTGCAAAACAAGTTCCAAGCAGGCCAGGTAAGCAGCCAAAGTCCCTCCAAGACTCGTCCATGATGCTGAAAGGCAGATGAGAAGCCAAGACACAGCTCGTCATCTTCATTCTCCGCCCAACTTTATCTGACTCCGACAATTGAATGATCGTGATCGCACACACAGCGTTGGGAAAGGAGGTCAGTCACTTCAACAGGGTGGGCTTGAGAACGAGGCTGCGGACACCCCACTTCCGCGTGTAACAGAAACGGGCTGTGGCTCAGATGGTCGTAGGATGGATGTGCCGTAGGATGGATGTGGACTTCGTGGGACTTGAGTGTTTGCATCGGCTAGTGTGCACTTTTTGCATTCTGGACCAAACTGGGACCTTCATACCCAAGTTGCAAGGTGCTGGGGAAGCGTTGCATTCCCAAGGGCCTGATCTCGATGCCCGCCGCAGACTTCTGCTTAATTTGCTGCAAGATATGTTATAAAAGGTTGGCAAACATGTTCACACACGAGGGACTTTTTTTCAGGACGTCACGAGGATTTGTTCAAATGAAGTAGTTGTTGCGAGCTTTCACCGCGGTGTCCGTCCCATCCCTGGGCAAGCGCGGATGGAAGATCATGGCAAGGTGGAAGTTGCGGAGAGCGAGGGCGAGAACGATCACGAGGACATGGTCGCACAGGACTGGCAGCAGAGTTGTTTTGCGGTTTCATGGGTCAAAATATCACCAGGAATTGGACCGCAGGTTTAATCCTTCTTTCCATTTAGCAGGGCAAGCCATTTGGGGTATCTATTTTTGACCCACAGCCATGTTTATGATTTGGTGGTTGGGACTATTGTCGAACATGAATGGCCGTTCCCCCCCTTTCTTCGACAGTGACAAGGGTGAACCCTGAAAAGGAGTCAGAGGCCTACGTCCCGATTGAATCCAACGGGGAGATGATGATAACTAATAAAGTGGTGCAGCTGCTCGCTAGCATGAGGCCATGTGGGAAGGGCATCGTGCGTGGGACAAAGGCCTGCCGGGTTCTTGAAGGCTTTGGCCGATCTTTCCGGCGTGTGAGTCCAGGGCTACACGCGAAGAGCTATCCCACTCGCAGCATTGGGACATTTTGCAGCCACAGCTGGCAGGGCTGGTGGTTGGCGAAATATCTCACCCTTCTGCTGTTTTACAATGGCTTAGCTGCCGCTGTCATCTCATCCATCGGCGCTGCCATAGCTGCCGGCCTCTTCTGCTTCGATGTCCTGCCGATTTTGAAAGGGAAAGACGAGTCGCAGTACAGATCATCCTTTTGGGCAACGATGGTGGGTGTGCTACTCTACGTTCTGACACTTCTACTTTGGCGGCCTGGAACCACTGTTTTCTTTGATTCCATCTGCATTGATCAAACAAGTACGGTCCGAAAAACCAGAGGCCTGCTCAGCATGGGCGCTTTTCTGAAGTCTTCCAACTCAATGCTAGTGCCGTGGGACGCCTCATACTGCTCTCGATTGTGGTGCATGTTCGAGATTGCTGGATTTCTACGGAGCCGTGATGGCATGAAGCCCAAACTGATCATGAGGCCGACAATATTGGGCCCATGTTACCTCTTGCAGACCTTGACTGTCTTCATGGTCTTTGTGGGTGTTGGCCTCGTCCCTGATCACCCTCAATGGGTGTTCTGGACCTTCCAGGCATTGGTTTGCTTCTGTGGCTTTTACATCAATATGGCCGCCTACAGGCAGTATGCCTTATCGATTGAGAACATGCAAGATGAGTTGCGCGGCTTTACCTTGCAAAACGCAACTTGCTGGTGCTGCAGCATAGGCCACAAGCGGAACGGAACGCCGGTGATGTGTGACCGAGATTGTATCATCAAGTGCGTTTCCATCTGGTTCGGTAGCCCGGAGAGCTTCGAAGACCGAGTGAGGAGTGAGGTGCTCAGCTGCCTCACTCAGCACCTCACCACCCAATTCTTCACCTATCAGCAGTGCGTCATCACGATGGTTCCCATTCTTTGGGCCTTCATGGATACTGGCTCCGCGCATGTGCGCTTGGCCGAGCTGGGCAACGAGTGGCTTCTGGGGGCCCGCGAGCTGGCGCGAGGCTTCGCCTGGTGGTTGGGCGTGGCGCCCCTGGCTTTGCTGCTGGGGTTTCGGATCTGCTTCTACCTGCGCCGGCCGTTGGCCCGAAAAAGCTGCGACGTCTTGCTGAACTTCCCGCCTCTGCTGGCCGTGGTGGGGGCGGTGGTGCTCATGGTGCAGCTGGAACAGCTGTGCTTCAACGCCTTCCGGGTGAAGTCGGAGTTTCTGGTGGCTTCGACCTGTCTTTGGCCATTTTCAGCTTGTTGGTTTCGAAGTCTGCGATATGAAGTCTGCAGGTCGACCCAAGCACTTAGGCCTTTTCCAGCAGTGTCTATTACTCTCTGACACCCAGTGTGTGTTGTGCCCCCCCCCCCCATCCCCCCGTTTTTTTTTCTTCTTTCTTTTCTGCGACTTGCCAGGTTAATATGCTGATGTTCGCGGCTTTCGTCATTCCCCTGGCAGCTTTTCTTTTCGGATGTGTGGGTGCGCATCCTGGCATTCGCGCTCCGAAATCCTCTTGAGCTGCAGGGGTCGTGAGGATGAATCTCAGGGTCCATTTTGTATCACCTTTGAATTGGCGCTCACAAATTTTATCATATATGATAGATGTCCAAGACATCTCGAGCTCTGATAGACCTTGGGCTCGGCATCCCTGTTTGCCGCTCGAAGTCCATCGGAACGGTGCTGCAGCACGCCCGTGGGCGGAAAATTGGCCATTCATCGATTTACTTTTATCCGGACGGGGTTCATATTTGGGCCATTTGGGTGTTTCTCAACAGAGAGACCCCTTTAGGTGGTTGGTTTCCTTTATCCTCTCAACAATCAAACACAGGACCCCCTTTGAGAAACGCCCAATTATGGGTATGGGCCCAGCTACTTCCGCGATATGAACCGAACCCCAGGTTTTAGTCTTTGGTTCCACTTGCTGCATGTTGGGCTTGCCATTTTGGGGGTTCCCGCATTGCATTGACCACTGCCCATGTCCTGAAGTTGAGGAGAGGTGCTTACGCAGCTGCTGCAGGGCCCCGAGGCGATGTACTGGGAGCATGGACTGGGAGCTGAGATGGTGACAGCAGCCCGGACGCAGCGTAGGCAGAGTGGCTCAAATGCCAGCGTCTTGAAAGCTTGGCTGAGTTTTTTTTTGTTTTTAATATAGAATCTGAGGTCATGTTCGGCAGTCTCAGATTCCGGAAAGTGTGAAGCATGGTTGGCGTCGCATCCACCCGTCCGAGGTATGCCGCGGCTCCGAAGCCAACCGCGTTCCGGAACCTGCCTGCCTGGCTTCTCGATGTTAACAAACTCTGCGCCTTGCGGCCGTGCGGCCTTGAAGCAGTCGCGCTAAGGAACCCGCCAGACCCGAGCCCCAAGAGGCGAATGAGGAGTGGCAGCTTTGCCACTCTGAGGGTGGGCCCCTCAAAGCTGCGCAAGCTTTCAGAGTGTCGCGTTTGAGCGGCGCTTCTTTGTTTTGGGGCGTTGTGCCGAGGCTCCAGCGGCGAGCTGGAATGGACTCTATTGAGTGAAGATGTGGAGCCGGCAGTGACAGTTTCATGAGACGCTCGGGTTCTTTTTCTCATGAGTTCTCATTGGAATGATCCAAACGAAGATCGCAACAGTGTGCGCGCAAATTTCAAGAGTCGTCAAGCATTGGGTTGGTGCCTGCAGACCCCTTGTGACTTGCGAGTCACAGTGATTTCCACTTTGAAATGGGTCTCACGGAGCAACATGCTGTTCCACAACCTGACCCGTCAGCATTTGCGGAATTGGGATTCTTGCAACTTAAACATTGCAACTTAAACATGCTCCATTGAGCCAAGGTTGCGTGGCCCTGATGCCAATTCTGCAAGCAACGCTTTGCCACAGAAGTTGTGCAAAAGCTACCATTTTTGTGCTGGCTCACTATGACTCCGAGCACAAAATTGTCGTTGAGCCGATGGAATGCTCAATGATTTGTCACAAACACAACGAGATCGCCGTGTACACACTCAGAACATGGGCACACACACACACACACATGTGGTTTGTTGAAAGGCATGATAGGCTTGTGCTATCGAGGGGTCAGAAAGAATCAGGTTGGATGTGGGGGCAAAAGGGTATGGCTGCCGTTGTGCGTGTAGAACAGCTACATCATTGACTCACTCTGATTGCAGTCAACAGAGGCTTCTTACGACTTGATTCTATCGCAGATTCCATCGCAGGTCATTGACAGGGCAATCGTCAACATCGGCCCCGAAAATCCGAAGGCCCGCGTCCTGCCAAACACAGAGTCATTGCAGGTGAGGGAAGTTGTAGGTCTTTCCGATTGCAGCCCTTTCAATCACATTACTCAGCACCTCCCCGCTTTGTTTGCTTGCAACGTTGTGACAGACTCGGTCGCAGCCAGGTCATCAAGCGTGCGCAGGAGCTTTTGTCGCCAGATGACGGAAGCTCAGAGTCGCGAAGGCTGATAACATGATCACTTTGTATCGGATAGCCACTGTATGACAGCCTAGCCTTGTGGTTCTTCAAAGGGCAGGCGTGCTTGCGATGCCCAGGCCCACAGCACCCTCTTTGCGCTGCAAGCTGAAAACACCGCCGACAATCTGCGGGCTGAACTGCGCATTGAGCGGCTCTTAGAGTCAGCCATTCAGCCATTCAGCCCTCAGTTGCCTCTCAGTGGGAGTCGCCTCGTGCATGGCCTCATGTTTCCTCGGGGCTTCGGAGGCCGAAGTCAGACCTCTCTCACACAAGCCAACATGCTCAGGTGGATCCCAGCCCGGAAGCTGGAGATCGGCGCAGGGGCTGCTCCATGGCCCTTCTGGCGGGGCCAGATGATTTGGGGAGAGCAGAATAATGGGCCCGTACATCTTTGAGTTGCTCATGCAGTGGTACCAAGTCACTGACACGTGAGCCACTTGCTCAAAACCGATTCGGGCATTGATGAAGGTTAGTAAGGGCCAGTCCCTGCGAATATCCGCCTCCTTGATTCTTTACATGGTTCTGTGTAGACCATTTTAATACAAAGGGTTTTGAGCAAGTGACTCACGTGTTTCTTGTTGGCCGGCTTGAAGCTTGGCATATCTTCTCCGAACGCTTGTCTCCGAATTTCGAATTCATCGGATAGGCGCTGCTGGGGCAGCTGAATCCAGACCATCCGTTGCAGGACGTGACTCGAAGCCGTCACGACTCGTTGAGCTGGACATGGCCGTGGTGGTCAAAAATAGGGTAGCCCCAAAATGGCTTGCCCTGGTAAATGGAAACATGGGTTAAAACCTGCGGTTCGATTCCTGGTGCTTTCATTTTGACCCATACCCACCATGCCGCCAGGAGAAGCTTCGCAGCGAGTTTGCCGCGGAGCTGTCGGAGGTGCCGTGCTGAACTTCAGGGAGATGAATGCCAGCTTCCAACCCAAAAACGGCCCAATAGCAGTCGCAAAAAAATCCCCAAGCCCACTTGGCCATGGTTCAAAACCAGTACCAATGGTCTATTTTAGCGGAGATTGGGATGTTCACTGGGGGTACGATTTGGGTTTTGACCCATGGCCACTTTGAGCTGTATCAACTTGTATCCTTTTTTGTCCCATTGGCGCAGAGAATCCCAATGTCCCAATGTCGCCCAGATTCAACCAACAGTGGCTTCCACTGAGCAGCCGCCTCTGCCGCCTCCAGCAGAAGGCCTGCCCAAGCTGATTGACGTAACGCACAGCTGCTAGAAGCCACCAGAAGTACTGAAGAAGCAGGGATGCATGGCAGTTGCTGTTGCTGTTGCTGCGGTTGTTATTGCTGTTGCTGTTGTTGTGGTGTTGGTCTTGACGTTGGTGTTGGCGTTTGTGGCGGTGGCGGAAGCAGTTGCTAGTCAGTGGTATTCCTTAATTTTTAAAAGCCACTAGAAGTACTGAAGAAGCAGGCATGCATGGGATGCATTCTGTCTGATATTCATTTGTCGCAGGTCCTCCAACCGCCACAGAGCTGCTCACTCCGCCGCTGGAGACGCATGTGGACGCGCAGTCGACAGAGGAGGTCTCGCAGGCGCGGTAAGAGAATGACACGGCTGTGGTTGTCAAAAGCAATGGGATCCCATGTTGGTTGGCAGGGCCACCCATTTTTTAACCTATTTTAGTGGTTGGATTGGGATGTTCACTGGGGGTACGATTTGGATTTTGACCCATGGCCACACGGGCTGCGTTTAGTCCAGGTTTGCGCAGCGCGTTGACGTGCTGAACCTTCATGCGGACTTGGGGTCTGGGGTAGGCTGTTTTGCCCATCTACAAAAAGAGATCCTGTGCAGGCACAGTTGGAGCTGGAGCGAGCCCTGGAGGGGGGCGAGGCAAGGTGCAATGAGCTGCGATTCTGGAACGAGCCTCGAGCCAGGATCCGTTCAAGCTTGAGCCCACTCCTGAGGAGACCAACCAGGCTCTCTTTGAGGCTGGAAGCTCTGGCAACGTGCTGCAAGCTTGGCTCTCTGTTGCCAGGCAGGCGTCCGGCCATATGACGATGACCTCAACTTGGACGTGCCAGAAGATGAGAAGGCTCCGCAGCCATGTGGCCATGGGTCAAAATCCCGTACCCCCAGTGAACATCCCAATCCCCACTAAAATAGACTAAAATGGGTGGTGCACCTACCCCAAAATGGTACCATTGCTTTTGACCCACAGCCATGTAGCTCGATATTTTGAAAGGGCATGAAGGAAGGACACTTGCCATGGCTGTGAGCAATCAGCTTATTCACGCGTCGCGGCGCGTTGCGACTTTGCTAGCCTCTTGGTTGTCAAACAGCGTTTCCCCTTGAACGACACGTAGACAGATACGTATGCAAGTTCAGTCGACCAGGACCTTTGGGGCTCTCCAACAGGATTCCTTGAGCTGTCAAGCATAAACGAGCAGGCGGGGCAGGACAGTTGCTTGCAAATCAGAGTGCTTGCGTGCCTTCCAAGCGCTGATGCTCATTTTGGTCTTTTGCAGCTGCATTGCCGTTTCTTGGTGCAGGTGGTGGATCCAAAGAAAAAGAGGCGCCGCAAAATTGACGTGACTGCCATTTCCATGTCGCTTGTGACTCTGGTCACTCTTGCTTCCTTGAGCTTCCTTGAGTGTGTACTGCTTGTCAGGGACTTTGATGAGGAGAAGGCCAAGCATGCTTGGAGCTGCAAACATTGGCACGGACACGCTCACAAGCCCGTTTCTGTCCAGCACCATTCAGCAACCAGCTGTTAGCATATTTCTGCAGCCAGAAGAGCTGCACCAGGAGCATACAGCTCACTCTATCCCAGCTTAACATGCAACACACCCCCGACTTGTAGCGAAGCACCCCAAAAACCAGCCAACCCGTTTCTTCATTGTTCACATCCTTGGATGTGACCTGCAGGAAGGAGCTAGCAGCGGAATGCACCGGTGTCGAATCGGGGTCTCTCCCGCAGCATTGCGTGGCGCCATGGCTTTTCTGCACCTTCTTTTCGCAACCTCTGTGTTGGCATCCCCGGACAAGATGCCGAAGATGCCCAAAGGACAGCTGACTGTGGAGTTGGATCATTTTTTTTTTTTTCGTCGGGTCTTGAGCGTGTTGTAAAAACCTCTGCCGACAGAAGCCATGTCTTCACTGGCAGGCATTCCAGGGATGCCGGGCGGTTTTGCCCGGCGCGGGCCTCCTTGGCGCAAAACCACCGAGAAGGTTTTCAACGAGGCCGGCGTCGAGGTTTGGACTCGCACGTTGGGTGGATCAGCAAGCCAAAGGAAAAGCAATTGAAACAGTCAAAAGCGGCTCTGTTCTTTGCGTTCCTTTATTCCTTTGCTTTCTGTTTGCTTTCTTTCTTCCTGAACTTATTCCTTCTTTTTCTTCAAGTTTCCTTCTTTCTTTGCTTCCTTCCTTCCTTCCTTCCTTCCTTTCTTCCTTCCTGCTTTTCTTTATGTCTTGCCTTCTTTTTTCTTTGTTTTTTTCTTATTCCTTTGCTTTCTGTATTTTGTTTCTTTCCTTCCATCCTTCTTTTCTTTACGTCTTTGTTGTTTGTTTCTTTTTCTTATTATTTTGCTTTCTTTCCTTTCTCTTTTCCTTTCTCTTTTCCTTTCTTTCTTCCTCTTTTTCTTTATGTATTTCTTTCTTGTTTTTGTTTCTTCCCTTATTCCTTTGCTTTCTTTCTTTCTTTCTTTCTTTCTTTCTTTCTTTCTTTCTTTCTTTCTTTCTTTCTTTCTTTCTTTCTTTCCTTCTTTCCTTCTTTCCTTATTTCCTCTTTCTTTCTTCCTGGATTTATTCCTTGTTTTTTTCAAGTTTCTTTCTTTGGTTCCTTCCTTCCTTCCTTGCTTCCTTGCTTGCTTGCTTGCTTGCTTCCTTCCTTCCTGCCTTCCTTCCTTCCTGCCTTCCTTCCTTCCTGCCTTCCTGCCTTCCTGCCTTCCTGCCTTCCTGCCTTCCTGCCTTCCTGCCTTCCTGCCTTCCTGCCTTCCTGCCTTCCTGCCTTCCTGCCTTCCTGCCTTCCTGCCTTCCTGCCTTCCTGCCTTCCTGCCTTCCTGCCTTCCTGCCTTCCTGCCTTCCTGCCTTCCTGCCTTCCTGCCTTCCTGCCTTCCCGCCTTCCCGCCTTCCCGCCTTCCCGCCTTCCCGCCTTCCCGCCTTCCCGCCTTCCCGCCTTCCCGCCTTCCCGCCTTCCCGCCTTCCCGCCTTCCCGCCTTCCCGCCTTCCCGCCTTCCCGCCTTCCCGCCTTCCCGCCTTCCCGCCTTCCCGCCTTCCTTCCTTCCTTCCTTCCTTCCTTCCTTCCCTTCCTTCCTTCCTTCCTTCCTTTTTTCCTCCTTCCTCCTTCCTTTTTTGCTTCCTTCCTTCCTTCCTTCCTTCCTTCCTTCCTTCCTTCCTTCCTTCCTTCCTTCCTTCCTTCCTTCCTTCCTTCCTTCCTTCCTTCCTTCCTTCCTTCCTTCCTTCCTTCCTTCCTTCCTTCCTTCCTTCCTTCCTTCCTTTTTTCTTTCTGGTTTTCTTTGTTTCTTTGTTTATTCCTTTGCGCTCTTTTTTTCCTTCTCTCTTCCCTGTTTTCTTTCATTCTCTTTCTTTCTATGTTTCTTGCCTTCCTTCCTTCCTTCCTTCCTTCCTTCCTTCCTTCCTTCCTTCCTTCCTTCCTTCCTTCCTTCCTTCCTTCCTTCCTTCCTTCCTTCCTTCCTTCCTTCCTTCCTTCCTTCCTTCCTTCCTTCCTTCCTTCCTTCCTTCCTTCCTTCCTGCTTTTCTTCATGTCTTTCTTTTTGTTTCTTCTTTGTTTCTTCTTCTTATTCCTTTGTTTTTTTGTTTATTTCCTTCCTTCCTTCTTTTCTTGACGTCTTTCTTTCTTTTTTCTCTTTCTTATTCCTTTACCTCCTTTTGTTGCTTTCTTTCCTTCCTGCCTTCCTTCCAACTTCTTTCTGTTTTTGATCTTTGTTTTTCAGACATTATTTGTTATTGTTTTCTTTGTTTCATTCTTTCAGTTCGTTCCTTTTTGTTGTTCTTTCCGTCTTTATTTAATTATTTATTTATTTATTTATTTTTTTGATTTCATTTCCTATTTCTTTGGGTATACCTTTCCATTATATTTCTTTATTTCTCGATTTCATGTCATGTTTTCTTCGTGTTTCTTTCGTTTGTTTCTTTTCTTTCTTTCTTTCTTTCTTTCTTTCTTTCTTTTCTTGCTGTTCTTTCTTTCTTTCTTTCTTTCTTTCTTTCTTTCTTTCTTTCTTTCTTTCTTTCTTTCTTTCTCTCCTTCTTTCTTTCTTTCTTTCTTTCTTTCTTTCTTTATTTCTTTATTTCTTGCTTTCTTTTTTTCTTTCTTTCTTTCTTTATTTCTTTCTTTCTTTCTTTCCTTCTTTCCTTCTTTCTTTCTCTCTCTCTCTCTACGTCTTCCTTTCCTTTTTATTTCTTATGTTGATGTCTTCGTTTCTTTTTCTTGCATTTATATTTTTCTTTCTTTCTATGCAGTATCTTTTTTCTTCTTATTTTTTGCATTTTCTTGATATTTCCTCTTCTTTATTTCTTGATGTATCTGTTTGTTTGCTTTTTTTTCATATGTTTTCTTCTCTTGCTTTCTTTCCTTCTTCCTTTTTGTAATTTGATTCTATTTCTTATGTTTTTTTTTTTTTTTTATATCTTCTTTTCTTTCTCCCTGTCTTTTCCTTTATTTGTTCTTGACTGTTTTTCCCTTTCGCGCTCTCTTTTCATTTTATTTCCTTCTTTCTATTCTCTTCTATTCTCTTTTGTCTTTCTTTCTTTCTTTCTTTCTTTCTTTCTTTCTTTCTTTCTTTCTTTCTTTCTTTCAATATTTCTTTCAATATTTCTTTCAATATTTATTTCTTTGTTTCTCTTATTCATTTTCCTTTCCTTCCTTTCTTCCTTCCTTTCTTTCTTTCTTTCTTTCTTTCTTTCTTTATGCTCTTTCTCTTCCTGTTTTTCTGTCTTTCTTTCTTGATCTTATTTCTTTTTGTGCTTGTCTTTTATTTTTGTGCTTTCTTTCTTTACTTGATTTTATTCCCTTGCTGTGTTTTCTTTTTCTTTTTTGTCTTTCCTTTCTTATCTTTCCTTTCTTTTCTTTCTTGTCTTTCCTTTCTTTTCTTTATTTTCTTTATTTCTTTCTTTTCCTTCTTTATTTTTCCTCTTTTTCAACCGTTGTCCTTTTCTTGGTGCCTCGCGAAAGGCGTGCTTGATGAATCGGGGGCAGCCGTCGGTGTTCTGCTACCCGGACATCAAGGAGCTGTTGGAAGGCCCGCGCATTGTGCCTGAGCAACAGCTCAAGGCGTTGACAGGTTGGGTTCGGGTTCCACTTCTTGACCCCAAGCTGGACTTAAACGCAGGGTGTTCTCCTTTTGGGGGGAATGAACCACCCCTGGGTTTCAGTCTACCCTGGGGTGTGGTCAAAAAGTGGAACCTGGGTTGGGTATTATCAAGAGCAGACATCTTCTTTTGAGTTTGCTAGCTTTGTTGGCTCCGATTTGCCTGGCAAAGGGCACATGTGGAATTGGTGAGCCTTGTGATGTGCGAATGCACGAGGCCTGTCGAAAGCTCAAGAGAATGGAGCAGACTTCACAAGTGAAATGCTGCCTAGCTTCTCGAAGAGCCAATCGTGCGTAGTGCCACATTGAGTGCGGTGCGTTCGTCCGCCTCATCAGAGTCAAAAGGCATAGGTATGCCTTTTGATGGAGATTGGGAGAGAAAGACGAGAATTGCGTTTCAAGGTTTTTGCTGGATTTGCACGTGGTGGTTGAGCAGCTGCTTAGCTGGCCAACAACGTGGACTGCATTGAGCCAGGACTGGCACCAGATTGATCCTGGTGGCTTTGCGGCTTGCGCTTGACTCGTGCTGGTTTGAAGGAAAGCATTGATTATGGAGTGCCCTGATAGGTTCTCTCTTCGAAACATCAGTGGACCAAGCCTTACTGCGACAAAATCCTGGGGGATTCACCCATATGGCACCTGGTCCATAAATTCATGGTTTGCTGCGCCAAATGTTCGCAGCTTCCTGCTTGCTGTTCAGAGCAGCCCCCATGTACCAGCAACTCATGTGGCTGTCAAAATTAAACCACCAGGGACAGGTTTTAGTCCCTGGTTTCATCTACCAGGGTTCCATTTTGGGTACCTGTTTTTGACCCACAGCCATGTTGTGCATGCGCCTTTAGGTATGCCGCGCCGATGGTGCGCAAAAGCTTCATCGCTCCAAGATCTACTCTCCGCCAAATCGAGAAAGACACGCCGCACGTCTACGCTTCCATGCAGAGATGGTTTGACGAGCTTGGGAAGAATGGCGACGGCCGAACCAAGGCCTGGCTCAAACGGAGCTGCCATTTGCTCAGTGAACTCACTCATCCGCATATGCGAGTCTGGTCGCAGGAGTTTCTCCGAGAACTTAGACAGAATGACGCCGCAGACATCAAAAGCAAAGCGGTACATGCTCGACCGTTGATGCGATTGATGATGCACGAGCACGCGAAAGCGCTGAAGTTCATTCTGGGGAGACTTGGCTTTCTCCTACAGACCCGAATTCCGAAGCCGCATGCGAGAGTTCCCAGGAAGGCCTGCAAGGGCAGCAAGAAAGCATGGGAGAAGTTCACCCGCTGGGGCCCCGGTACCTTTCTAGCAGCACAAAGTGGCACGCGCGAGTGAAAGCGGGGAGGGGATCCAAAAGGTGCCTTTCTAGCAGCAAGACGTGGCGCCAAGTCAGCGGATCAAGTGTAGCACAAAGTGGCGCACGTCAGCGGATCGAGTCAGGGATCGAGTGAGTGAATCGAGTGAGTCGAGTGAGTCGAGTGAGTCGAGTCGAGCTGAGGCCAGGACCTGAACGGCCTGACGATCCTCCACCACGCCGCCTCGCAGGGCAACGCGGCCGCCGTGGAGGCGATCCTCCGCGCGGCGCCCAAAGCCCGGCGCCGGGAGCTGGCCCAAATCCGGGACTCCCATGGCGCCTGGGAGGGCTATGGGCATTTTTGTTTCATTTTTCTAAATGAGGGGCCCTTTTTGGACATCATTTCGGGGGATTCAGAAGTCCACCAACAACCAAATGAGGTGTTTGTTTTCCTGTTGAGCTTCATGGCTATGAAGTTGCTGAAGCCAATGGCCATTGGCAGATACCTTTATGTCTTGCAATGTGCGGCGCTGATCTCAGGCTACCGCGCTGAAGATTGGGCCGCGTCAGGCAGCTTCAACGACACGCTGGCGGTGCTGGAGAAGCACCGTGGGCCGACAGACGAGGAGCGGACAGCTCCGAAGGAAGCTGTGGAGCTCTTTCCCGAGGCAAGCCGGGTGTGCAAGGTGCAGACGTGGGGATGGGTCAGGAATAGGGTTTGGCTCCCTCCAAGCCACTTTTAAACCTAAACTGAAAAAGTTCGAGCTTTGTGGAAAGTATCATCCAGGTCATGTTTTGTATTCTGAGTCGCCAGGGCGAAGGGAGCGAGGAATGTCCTGTCGATGGGTGCGATTCGGGTGGCTGGGGAAGAGCGGACGAGCTGGTGCCAACAGAGTGGCTGCCGGAGAAGCCTTGCTTTGCCGACACCATCGACGTTTCCCAGTGCCTCGGGCTGCAAATATGGCTGTAGGTCAAAAATAGGGTAGCCCCAAAGTGGAACCCTGGTTCATGGAACCAAGGACTAAAACCTGCGATCCTTTGGTGGTATAATTTTGACCCATATCCATGTATAGAAGCGGGCTGGATACTCGGACATGCAAGCTCGACAGCCCAGGTTTGACATCGATGTCTTCCACAGGCAGGTTGATTTCCCTGGAACGTGCTCCAGATACTCCCTGCCCTGAAGGCACTATATGTTTCATCCTCGCCCGCTTCTCATCAAAGGACTGATGAGGGAAGTGGCTTGCATTGTGGGAAATGCGGAGCCAAAGTCTGAGCGACACCTCCAAATCTTTGCTAGACTTCTAGCGACTAGGAGGAGGCAGGCCAAGCTCAGAAGCTGCGGGGAACTGGTCGCGGGCCGGTCTGCTAGAAGCTGCTGGGGATAGGAAGATCGATGCCGAGCTTTTTCCACGGGCGAAGGCAGGCAGAGACAGACGTGAGATTTGAGGGTTTCACTCATTGCTGGCGACAGAGAGTTGTTGCGGTGAACCAGCAACTGATTATGGACAGGTCTTCGACGGAACCCACCCCCTGAAGATGCAGCTGCGGGAATATGTGGAGTTGTTGGACAACCGCACCAGCAATTCACACCTGGCAAAGAAGAAGTTGCAATACGCTTACTTGCCGCTGGATGTGAATGAGGTCTACCTGAACTTTTCCGCAGTGCTGCCAGAGATACTGGACGGAAAGGCCAGACTTGCTATAGCCACAGGGCTTGGCGGTGCGGGCTTTGAGCTTCTTTTTTGGTTTCAACCAGCGGTTGCGCACCTCTCTAGGGGTTGATTCCAACCATTCTTTTCTCAGCCATCGTCCTTTTCAAGAACCAGATCCATTTCCCCGGGGCTTCTTGGGTGGTTTTCTGGAAAGACTCGGATCCTGAGCTCAGAATGGACATGCAAGTTACATTTTTTTCTGAAGTAACAGCGCGGTTGTGCACCTCCAGGTGGACCACATGGGCACGGTCTTTCTCCTGGGCGGTGCGCTGATGGGGACGGCGCCGCACCACCACGGCCCGGCCGCGAACTCCTTGGTCTACGGCACGAAGCTGTGGTTCCTGAATCCGCCCGGCCAGGAACAGGTGGCCATGGGTCAAAATCCAAATCGTACCCCCAGTGAACATCCGATCCAATCCACACCAAAGTCCCGACTAAAATGGGTGGTGCACCTACCCCAAAATGGGATCCCATTGGTTTTGACCCACGAACAGGTGGTCCACGAGCCCATCTACGAAGCTTGGATGTAACGAGACCGAGAAATGAGCCACTTGCTCAAAGCCCGGGGATTGATGAAGGTTAGGGCCAGTCCCAGCCAGAGATAGTTGCGGATCTCCGCCTTCTTAATTCTTTACATGGTTCTGGGATTACGACCATGTTAATACAAAGGGTTTTGAGCAAGTGACTCAAATGAAGGGCACGGAAAGGAAACTTTAGCCCTCCAGGCTGCCAGCTCTTTTGAGAGTGACAGGAGTACTTGATGCGCACAAAGGGGGCGTTCGAACCTCAGAGCCCATGCGCGGATTCATGAAGCATTGCAAGGACTAGGCATGTGGACTCACGGCTGGAATGCCCTGTCTGAGGCCTGACTCGTCTCGGTGCTTGCAGGAAGCTGGTGACTTGCTGTTCCTGTGCTGCCCTCAGCTGTGCAAAATGAAAACTCCCATGTCACTGTTGCCCAGCTTGTCGCACTTTGATTCAAAATGTGCATTTGCAAGACCAAACTAAGACTAAAACCAAGACTACACCAACGTTTGGCACAGTCTTCGGTTCCTCTTTGGGGGGACATTTAAGCTTCAATTTGATTCAACATGTGCATTTCCACGACTAAACCAAGACTAAACCAAGACTAAATAAAACCAAGACTAGTTTTGGTTTAGTCTTGGAAATGCACATGTTGACTTAAATTGAAGCTTAAATGTCCCCCCGAAGACGAAGCGAAGACTGTGCCAACATTGGTGTCGTCTTGGTTTTAGTCTTGGTTTAGTCTTGTACACGCACATTTGAACCTTGGTACATGGACACATGGAATAAATTCTGGTGTCCAATTCCTGGCGATTGAATGTAGACCCATACCCAAATGCAAGGACTTGATTCATCGATTCGTGCCGAAGGCCTCGAGGATGGACACACGGCGCGCTATGCCTTGGCCACTGCGTCGGCGCGTCTTTGGAGCCGCTTGGCTGCAAGCGGCGAAGCCTGCGGCGGTTTTTGCTGCAACCCGGTTTGAAGAAGATGCTTGTGTCTGCGCAGAAGCACAAAGGATCAGCCATCAGATGTTCGATCTGAGAGATTGAGCTTGCGAGCTTGCCCGCCAGCGACCAGAGCGACGAGCAAAAACTGCAGCGCTGCCGATGTTGAAGCAATGAGCCGGGCTGTGCATCACACACACACAGAATACCATCCGAGAGGTCATTGAACAAGGTACAGCTGACACAAAAGTCTAGATGGTTGAATTCTGGCTTTCCTCAGGGGAAGATCAGCTTTGATCCCGACCCAGCACATGTGATGATGCTGCAGACCATTGCATCAGAGGAGCGGAATTTGAGCAAGCCACTTTTCAACATGCTTCGAGCAGGATCTCACGCCAGAGATGCAGAAGAGGAAGGAAGAGCAGGCTCAGGCAGAACGCGCCCGCGGCGAGCAGAAGGACCAGCGTGCGGGAGGTTTCTAGGAGTGTGAAGCTTGAAATGGGTGTGGGTCACAACTGGGTACCCAAAATGGCTTGCCCAGGCAAATGGAAACATGGACAAAATCCTGCGCGCCCCTGACCCATACGCAAATGTTTGTCTGAGTTCTTGCAGCACAATCCGAGGCAAACAGCGAGAAACAAGTTGGACCATGCTTGTTGAACCCAAGCTCTCAACCCCACCCCCCCCCCCCCGCCCCCGAAAAAAGACACTGCCATTTAGTCTACTCTAAAACATCAAATAAGTGGTGGTGACCCCGGTGCAAGCCTGCTTGGTGCGAGTGTAACAAATACCTGGCTTACCCCTAATCATGAAACCAAAGTCTATGGTTGAGAAGAATGATTCTTCCAGACCCCGAGTCAAGTTCCACGTTGGAAATCACCAGGAATCCCATCTAGCCCAAAAGGGGTGATGTTTCTGGCTCAAACATATTGGGACTGGAAAACCCCGACAAAGTCGGGTTTTCAGAACGAAATGCAGGAGTTCAAAGCGATACGGAGACTTGCAAAATCCGCCCCCTTCATTCCGAACCGCCGGCAAGCAGGATTCAAAAAACCCAAAAAGGATCTGGCCAAGCCAAAAAGCAATCCGAATTCATCTGATGCGCTGAATTCTGTGCCAGGTGAGATTCTCAGGGGCCCCGTGAAACGGGGAACCCCCCAAAGAGGATTGCCCCGTGCCCACCATGGGTCAATACCCCACAAGTGAATCCATTGAAAGTGAACCAAAGCTAGAGTGAGTTCCCGAGCTTTCAACTTAATTACTTGCCACTGGCGGGTGATGGGAAACCTCCACAAGCCAACCCTACATTCACTCGTCTGAACCCTACCCTAAACCCACCCAAAAGCTGCTCACCAGCCACAATGCCAGTGGCATCATGTGTTGAACGAACGGAGCGAGGCAACTTCCGCGTGCGTGCGGCGTGCGGGATCGATCCAACTTCCGCGATCCAGCTTCGCGTTGGCGACTGGCATTTGGCTACTGGCCTTGCACCGGTCATTTGCGGACCGAACATGCTTTGACCCACAGGGCTCCTTAAAAGATACATTTTGCCCATTTGAAACATGGCTTTTTCAACACCAAAATAAAGGGAAACCACCATTTACAATGCCATGTTCAGGTGTATAATGCACTGACCCAAGAAGGTGAGAATATTGCTTGTGTTGCCTTGTTGGTTTTAAAGGGAATCTATCCCTACTGGACATATGCTTTCTTTCCAGGGGCGAAACCGCAAATGGAAGCGTCCAGGGGATGAAGAACTTCGGAAGGGGGTAGCCCAACGGCCCCTGCCCTCCGTAGCAACCCTTCACCCAAGGCTCCAGAGTCTCTAGACCGGGCCAAGCCAACAGTCCGGCGGTGTTAATGCTGCTATGACTTGCGCATGTCGGCCCTCCGCTTTTGATGGATAGGCTATCCATTTCACAATGGCTTTGCTGGATTGCAGGAGCGCACGGCAGTTCTGACGCCAGCAGCACAGACCTGGCCAACGTGTGCGAGCCGGGATCTAGCAAGGTGAAGTGCGCCGAGGCTTGAGGAGTTGACCATGGACACCGTGAAGCTACACACAGAGGCAAGACTGATGGTTGGAATCTGCAGAATAGCGCAGTCGAATGTACAAGGCAGGAGAGACCTTTTGCTGTTTGGACAGATTGGACGTGGTAGGGACGGTCACACAAACTTTCGCCCATGCATTTGATTTGCCAGGAAGTCTTCAAAATGAAGTTCGTGCGGTCCATTGCCGATGCGCTGCAAATTCCGAAGCATCGAGTCAAGGTGCAGCACACCGGTCAATTTGTTTTAGGGTACCCTATTATCAGGGTTGGTTTAAAGGTAAACCGAAAGGAACCCACTCATGCTGGGGGTGCCCATATTTTGAGAGACACCATATCTCTGTGCAAATTTGCTATGTGCTTGCCACGTAACCTGTGATTTGCAATGTGCTGCAGCCGTACCCGCGGCTCAAAATGGAAGAGCAGTCTGAAGGATGCATCTACACACATCTCCACGCGCCGAACAAACAGCAGGCAAGCACAGACACCGTGACGGTCTGTGCATGTGCTGGACGCCATGGAAGCAGTGGCAGGTTCAAGGCTGCAGGCATCTTGCATCCAAAGGAACACTCTCTGGCAGTTCATATGCACCCGTGCAGCGGCGAGCAGTCGCCCGGCAATGACATGACTATGTTGTTTTAGTCTTTTGCTCCAGCGTATTTGCTTTTGAATTTTGACCGGTCTTGCATTGGCAACTTGCTTGCAAGCAGCTTGGCGTCTTGTGACATCGAGGTTCCCAAGCAGCTTGAAAACCTGCTGGACCCTGCCCCGACAGCAGCTCGGTCTGTGCCGAGCGTCGCCAAGCTGCACGTGGAGCATTGCAACTCCATTGCGGCCTCAAACCACCGAGGCGTGATTGGGGGGCGCAGTTGTAAGCTTTGCAAGTTCAAAGCGTGAAAGCGCTCCGCGTTGCCAAGTTGAGCGCGCGCACATCCTGCAATCGAGAGGCGTGGAAGATGCGACATGGAACTGGGCAGCGATGCGAGCTTGCAAGCTGGCCGACTCCATGACGACGGAGGACACCGGAAGATGTGAAGGCATGGCCAAGCAGTGAGGACGTGAGAAGCGCCCAATCAGAAAGTTCTTTACCTTTGATGCTTAGACATTTAGGCGTTCCTGATTTGCCTGCTGTAAAGTGTACAGATCCATCGTTTGACATGTTCAAATGGGCTTGAAATCCGGGAATAAGAGTTTCCAGATAGCAGGACTTGGCTGGCTGTGCTGCAGCCTTTGCGCGCGCTGGTCGCCGAGACTTCCGGGTATTCTTTCTGCTGGCAGAGGAAGCCATTCCAAAGGCTCGGGCAAATGATCACCCTTGGGCTGAGCTTTGTCCAGGTCAATGATGTTTACTGAAGACATTTGGATGTGGGTCAACACCAAGGGTACGATTTTGGGGTAGGTGGACCACCCATTTTTGTCTGTTTTAGTGGGGATTGGGATTTTCACTGGGGGTACGGGATTTTGACCCATGGCCATTCTTTCTTGCGTGGAGCAAGCGGGCACAGTGTTCAAACGGCTCTGAATTTTCATGAGGATCCCCCTCACTGAGCTGAGGACTCACTTAGGAACACTGTTTTTGACTCACTTCGGAACACAACAATTGGCGCTTACTGAACAAACCACTCAAAACCCTGAATGTAGCGCGACTGTGTGCGGGGGGTGAGGGTGGAAATGGGGGGCAGGTGGGGGGAGGGGAATCCCGTGCATGTTCGCGCGCGTCCACTCAAGGGCACGGCTGCACTCGCACCTGGGGAGGTACGAGGTAATCACGCGCACGCACACGCGCATGCGCCCATTGGAGGGCGGCTCAAGCTTCGTGTCGAAGATTTCGAAATGGGTATGGCTCAAAATGAAGGAGCTGGGGTTACGCGTGTTTTAGCCTTTGCTTCCATTTCCCAAGGTGCCATTTTGGTACCGGTTTTTTGAGCCACAGCCAAATAGATGATTATTTTTCGCATCCTCCTTCTTTGGGGGAGTAGCTGAACGCTCCGAAGCGAGCGATTCCTTCCGTTCCGAAGCGAGTTGCCCTTGCCCTCCCACACGGTTGGTGGACATAATTCCCCACCAACATGATGTTCACCAGAGGGCCAAATGTAGAAGCATACACATTGATCTCTCATGTGACAGAGTTCAACAGTTGCTTGCTAGATGAGCGACGGCCCACAGAGCTGTGCTCGCGAGGCTTCTGCATTCAGCGTGCACGAGGCGTGTCATCGAAGGTATTGTTGAATGCAAGCAGAATGCAAGCAGAAGCAGAATGTCCTGGGAAAGAAAGTTGGCTTTTCCACTAAACCCCCAAAAAGTGGTCAACTTTTTGCAGGGGGGTCGTTGCAGCAACCAAGATGCAAGCAGAATGTTAGTGTTGAGTGCGAACGGTTCTTTTCTCCAGAGGCCGTGCAGATGCTGGAGGCCTTCGCAGAAGTGGGCGTGCGCTCGTGGCTCAGTGCGCGGGCTTGGACGCTGGTGCAGTGGAATGTGGACATTCACTGGTTTTAGGCTCAAGAGTCCGTGTTTTTTCTTCCTTTTCCTTCCGTTGGGGACCAGTTTTTTTTCCTTCTTCCGCTGGGGACCAGTTTTTTTTGCTTCTTCTTTCGCTGGGGACCAAAATGCCAGAAGCAACACTACTTTAGACAAGACAGGGAGCATGCACAGCAGACAGCGGAGATCTGCAAAGACTTCCTATTATCCCGCTTTCATGCTGCATCGATGGTCATGGCCGGTTTGGTGGCGCCGGCGATGGAATGCGCGCTTCACGTCCTTCGTCAGTGAAAGACATGCAGTGAAGTTTGAGAAGCTCAGCTGTACAAAGCTTGGCTTCGCTTTGTTTGACATGGTGTTGTTCCTACTGTGGATGGACAGAATCCACCACCTAAGGAACCATGGGAAACATTCTTTGTTGCTATTTACAGGGAATCATCAAAAGCCAGGGTTTCTTAGGTGGTGCAGGATTTCGTCCATCCACAGTATGGGTATGGGTCAAAAAATTAAGCCACCAGGAAGGGGACCGCAGGTTTTAGTTCTTGGTTCCATAGGGCAACCTGTTTTTTGGGGTACCGCGCGATCCTTGCAGCGCCTTAGGATCTACCATGGGGGAGCTGCACACCCTTTGCATGGAGATGAGGCGCGTGAAAACGCAGCATTTGCAAATACCTGGATGTTTGAAGAAACGCGCCCAAGTACTGCAATATTGGCATTGCGAAGCTTGACAGAACATAGAGCCCTTGAGAAAATCTGGATAAGCCTTCACCACAGAACAGTTTGAAGCTTTGGCGGTTTCTCAATTCGTTTGTCTCGACAATCCTGGCTTTTGAGAGACTACTGGCTTCCTTTGTTTGCCTGTAGCGAAAACACATGTTGCCTTCAAATTGCACTAAGGACATCCAAGTGTGAACCCGCAAGATCTGCGGCAGATGCACAAAGCTTATGCAACCAAGCTGCGGGAGGGAGCCTCTGTTGCAGTGGTTCAGGACCGGTCCTTGGATGAGTTGTGGCACTCGCAGCAAACTCGGGTTTTGCTGCACCCACACGACGCATGCCGCTTTGAGATTCTATCAGTGTCAGCATGTACCTGAGTTTGAGATGTCTTATGGCAAAGCTGAGCCTTGAGAATAACTCGACAATTGCAAGATATTTCTCGGCCACAACGCACCTCTGCTTCTTCCCAAGGCTTCAAACTCTTCGCGAGGGCTGTAGGCCTGAAGTAGCAAAATGTGTCAGATGCACTCCTGAGGACTCGAGGCAACTTTTCGTGAGAACGCGGCTGCTGCAAAGGCAGAAGCAGGGCCTGTTGGTGGAAGGTTGGCGACGGCAAGGTGCGGCAGCTTGTGAGATGTTGTAAGTTTTGACATTGGATCATCATGACATTCAATGTTGGTCTTTCCAACTTCAGTCAGTGACAATTGTGCCCACCGTGGCCCTCAGGTGTTGAGCGGGAGCCAGTTCAGAGTGTGCCAGCTAACGATGTGTATGCTGGATGGCCGGCCTTATCGTTGCTCCTTTCCCATCCCCTGCGGCAGCTTGAGAGGGAGATCCAGTTCTTGTGGCAGCTTAGCAGAACAAGTTCAGCCCCCCTTTTCTTTTTGTGTGTGTGTGTGTTTTTGGGGGATGGCAAGCCATTTTTTTTTTTTGGGGGGGGTGAGTGACTGCTACGAGATGTGGCTTCATTGATGAAACATCGGCAATGCGCTTGTGAATTCAACACAAGCTGAAGTGGGACAACATAACGCACAGTTCATGGCATCATGGCACAGAGTGAACACAATCTTGCACCGCTGGTGAGGCCGGCTGCTGCGTCGTCGGTTGTTGTGAAGCAGGGTGGCCTTGCACTACATCCAGATGTTGGTCTCGGCACGCTACTACGCAACCCCCGCGATCTAAGCATTTGCTGCCCGACTCAAGTTCATGACAATTCCAATGCACCAGTGGCCAAGAATCGATCACCTGTCACCTGTGCGGATGGTTGCGAGGTATTGATGGTGTGGAATATCCATTGGAGCATGATGCCATGGCGAGCAAAATGGGCGCGAGTGCCGCCAAGGACGTGCTGTGGGCCTAATACATAAGACTGATTTGAAATCAAGATGCAGGACCGCGATCGCCGTTTTCTGAGGAAGGTGATTTGGAGCCAGGCCGGAGGTTGCCTTTTACTTTTGCTTGCCTGGCTGGGGCTGGAGTGGTGGATGTCGCACTCCGAGCAGATGCAACAGGCAGGGCCTGACTGTCCAACCACCTGAGTCACAATCAAAACCCTGCTAAGTGAAGGTTAGCCATAAACAGTTGCGGCCGCCTTCTCAATTCTTTACATGGTTCTGGGTCGACCATTTTTAATATCTGGCTTTGATTATGAGTCACCTTGAGTCAGCGAAGCAGCTCGTCCCGGTCAGGCACCCCGCGACGAGCTACGTTCGTTTCATGCCGTGCAAGCTGCCGATGTGGTTGAAGCCGATTCAGACGATACTTGCTGGGGTGAGGTCAGATTAGGATGGGACTTTGATAGATGTCTTCCAGTCTGGTTTCTGGCCAAAGATTTGCCGGAGCCAGATGAGTGTGAGTGAAGGGCCTCCTGAAAGCATGATTTCAGAGGTCCAAATGTACTCTAGCTATGCAGCTTCAAAGCTCAAAGTGAGAGCTCCAAAGCAACTGGGATTGGACCAAGTCAATCAAACGCGTTCTACTTTCCGCCTCAGAAACCGGCAGTCACAAGGACCCGCCGGAGTTCGTTGGATCGAAAGCCTCGCCGCCCAACCCCCCCCCCTCCCCGGTATTTAGTGTTTACATGCTGCAATAGACCTTGGGTGGAGGGTGGGGACTCTTATTGGGTTCGATCCATGGAGTGCCTTGGGAGCTTTGCGCTTCAATGGCTGTGGCGTTCTGTAGGCAATGAGCACCTCTTCCAGGCGCTTGGGGCGCAGCTGCTGCGAAAGGACAGGGCGAAAGAAGCATCGACGTCTCTGGAAAGTGCAGATCCATTTGAAGCTTGTGGCTCAAAAAACCGGTACCAAAATGGTTGCCCTGGTAAGTGGAAACATGGACCAAAACCTGCGGTCTGGACCTCCTTGGGCCACACCCATTTGAAGCTTGCGGCTTTGCAGCTTTGCAGCTTTTCCTGGATTCAAAACCCGTTGCGCGACAATGGAGACATTTGATGTACACAAGGCCCAAGAAGCTGCAGGCAAGCTCTGTGTTGGCTGATGTGCAGGAGGGCGACGATGGACTTGCAGATGCCACTTGGCAGCTGATCTGAAGATCATTGCAATCTATGGCGACATGTTTGTGGAGGTCCCACCATGAGACCGGACCTCTACATCATGTGATCAGTGGTGATCCTGGTCGCGGCCCCCCCGTGTTCTGCAGAGGTGATACGCCGGGTCCTGATCGCGCACGACAAGTTGTGCCTGAAAGAGCTGCCAGTGTGCGCTACCTGCCTTGCTTAAAATTTGCTGTAGTCTAAGCTTTGTCTTTCCACCATGCCGATTCATGACCAGTTTTCAGGTACTCAGCGATGCAGGCGTTCGTCGAAGAGCAGCTTTTACCAGCCACTGACTCTAAGCTGCAGAGATGCGCGCAGCATTTGGGTAGGCCACTTGTCAAGACTGCGCGAGGACTCTGAAAGCGATGAACTTGCGCGTCACGAGTCCAAAGAGCAGCTGGAAAAGGGGCCGCAGATGGGGCAACTTGGAGCCTGGTCCAAAACCGCGTCACTGTGAGACGGTGGTTTGGGATGCAAACTGGGCGGTAAGATGCCAGGTGAACGGTTTCGAGAAGGGCTCGGTCAAGGTGCTCCTTTCCATCCTGGACCGCTCAGAGTCTATCAGACTCTCACGGATGGCCATGGGTCAAAAGCCCGTACCTCTGGTGAACATCCCAATCCCCACTAAAATAGACTAAAATGGGTGGTGCACCTAACCCAAAATGGTGCCATTGGTTTTGACCCACAGCCAGATCCTGGCTCTCTTGCCTTTGGCTTTGCGTTTGCAGGAGCCAACCGGTGACGAAGCAGAGGATGAAGAGGGGCGCCACTCCCTCAGACCCCTGTGATGCGGCGTTGATAACATTCCCTGCCGCAAGGAAACACGATGTCTGCGGACAATGCCCTGGAGGAGCTCATGACACAGGCCGATCTCCGATTTGCTTGGGCGTGTTACTTGAGCCACAATCAAAACCCGGGTAGATGAAGGTTAGTAAGGGACGATCCAAAACATAAATAGCCGCGGCCGCCTTCTTAATGCTGTACATGGTTCTGGGTAGACCATTTTAGTACCAGGCTTTGACTGCGACTCACTTGGAGATTGTTGCGACTGTGATCACTTCGCAAAACGGCCGCATGGTGCACCTGGGGCGAAATTTCTGGCTGAAAAGCCAAGCGCGAGACTAGCGCGCAGAGTTGCCTGAAGCTTGGGTTGAGAAGTGACACAATAAATGGCCATTTTGGCATGGCAACTGCTGCTAGTGTAAGTCTTGTGCTTACTTAAAGTCATGTCGTCTTTGGCAGACATGCCTGCCTTCTTGAGTATCGGCAAACATATGGCTATGGCTCAAAATTAAAGAGGAGGGGCAGGTTTTGGGCAGGTTTTGGTCCATGTTTCCACTTACCAGGGCAACCCATTTTAGAATTCCGGTGCGTTGAGCCATAGCCATATCCTCCAAGTCTGTCCACTCCGTGCTAGGTGGATGACCCCAACAGCCGCCTTCGACTCGGAGAGGCGCCTACCTGCACCTAAAGCGTGTTTTTGTTTTATCTTTTTTTCCTGTCAAGAACGGATGTGGGAGCCCTGACTTCTTGGCCATATGGCTGTGGGTCAAAACCGTTTTGGGATCCCATTTTGGTTGGTAGGTGAGCTTACCACCCATTTTAGAACCTATTTTAATGGCTGGACTAAATCCCGTTCTCACGCGTTGTATGGGAATTTGACCCATGGCCACATGAAGAGGTGGGCCCATTCGTGGCTGCAGCTCGCCTGGAGCGGGATGTCATTCAGAGCGCCCAGGCCCGGCCTTGGATTGACGTGGATTTTCTCGACGGGGGTGTGGGTCAAAATTAAACAGGAGGGGTTACGCAGGTTTTGGTCCATGTTTCCACTTACCAGGGCAACCCATTTTGCTACCGGTTTTTTGAGCCACAGCCACGGGAGATGTCTATCAGAAGCTTGACCCGAGCCTCAAGCTGTCGTCTCTCATCAGGTACACATTGGCAGCATGGCGGATTCGTGCCCCAGCATGTGGATATGAAGCAACCGAATGCTAACATTCCATCTCGCCATTAGGTACCTGGCTCATCAGCTTGAGGGAGATGACTTTGAGCTGCCAGAAAGCACCAAACAGGCGTCAGAAGCCCAGTTGGCCGGCGTGTGCCATCACAATGCTCCAATTCGACTAGCCCACTGGAGTATTTGCAAACTTCTCGCATTCATAGGTGTCCTTTTTGGTTGATTTGGTGTAAAAATAGAGGGCCCCGGTTGACCTGGTGGTTCAATCAACTACCCAGGCCATCTATTTTCCCCAAAAGGACACCTATGTTCGCATGCCTCTGATTCCTCCAAGGTGGGCTGCCGAGAGCTCTGCGGGAGGCTCAGGTGACATCTCCAAAGAGTGAGGGGCCGGGCTGCATCGCAGCCTTTTGACCACCACAGCCTGGGTTTTCTGAAGCCTTTCCATGGGAGCTCCGCGGCATCCAGGCCCTGGACAGTGAGGAGGCCGAAACCGCGCCTTGGCTTTATGCCAGCGGCTTTGTGGCAAGGGCTTTGGCTCCAACCGGAGCCATCAGTGGAAGCAGAGTTCACATGTGAGGGCAACACACTCGTCCTTGTTCGGAGAGTTCCATTTTGGAACCGAAATCGCTTTGTCCCGTCTGTTCAGCAGCTATGGGTTGGGTTTGTGTTTCACTGGTTCCTTGCGATTTTTTCGATGTTTGCCTGTCAACCGAAATCCACCTGAGGATCAGCTGGTGAGGCAAGCGCAGCAGACCGTTGGGCAGTGGTCCCAGACATATCTCAAGAAATTGGGCGGGTGGGTGGGCACGGCAAGGATTTCTTGAAATGCCCACTTGCCACAAGGGATCTTGAATGAGATGAGGGGAATCTTTCCTCTCCAATCTTGTGAGGATTTAACTTGACATGGCTTCGTTGCACGTGCGCGGAGCTTTTCATTGAGGACTCGCTGGGGCTCTTCCCGGATGGAGCCCGGTTCCCTCCAGAGCACCGCACAATTCAGGACCAGAACCCGCCCATTTGTTTTGTTCTTGGGACGCGCAAGCGATACTCCTTGAACTCTGGAGGTGCGCTAGACGCGCATTTTTCAGGTTGCTTTGTTAACTCGGCGGCCGTACACTTCGGAGTCTGAAGCACAAAGATTTGACAGCCACGCTGGGTTGTTTTGGCAACCTTGTTGCCGCTGTTTTTGAAGCCTTTGTGAGTTCTCGACGGCAAGGAGCACGTGCCCGCATTCGAAGGAAGACGGGACGCTGGCTGCCTGGGTTTGACACTCAGCCATATACCTTCGACATGTCACATATCTGAATACCAGCATGCGCATGTCTTCGTCGCCTGGGACAAATTCGCCATGTCAAGCAACAAGGAAACACACGTTCCCGGTTTGTAGTTAAGAGACATCGCAATCATATTCTAACAAGTGCAGCTTCAGGAGGCCTTCTTTGATGTTATACAGCGTCTGGTGCGCGCTTCCTCGAGAGCAGACGTTTGGTGGTCGACTGGCCATGGATTATGGCGTCCACGTCAATTTGTGTGGAACTCATGAGTGGCGAGGTTCGTTGGTTGGAAGTGCGCCCGGAAATGACCATCGGGGAGTTGAAAGTACAACTGAAGGCATTCCATGCCTGTGAGGACGAGGTCACTCAGAGACTCTGCAGCGTGACCATCGTCGACCAGACCGTGGATGATGTTGAGGCCGTGTCGGCGTGCTTTCCCGACGGTGCTAAAGTGCAGGTTGTCTTCTCAAAGAACCCGGTCATCGAGTGTGACAACTTCGAAGAATCTGGCGTCAGCGTGGAGGACCTGCTTGATGTACGCATCCCTGACGCCACGACTCGTGTGGAAGCACTAGCTTTCGAGCACTGCACAAGTTTACTGCGCGTTCTCATTCCTGACTCTGTGACTAAAATTGGACACCTTGCATTTGATGGCTGCAGTTCTTTGATCAGCGCGACCATTCCGAAGTCTGTGACTGTGATTGGCAACGGTGCCTTCTTCGGCTGCAAGTCTTTGACGACCCTCACCATTCCAACCTCCGAAATTGCGAGTCGCACCTTTCGTGGCTGTTCTTCTGTGAGTTGCTTGACCCTTTCAGACTCTCTCACAGAAATTGGGCCCGAGGCTTTTAGGGAGTGCACATCATTGACGAGTTTGACCATTCCGGGCTCTGTCACCGAAGTAGGAGACAGTGCCTTTTATGGCTGCAGTTCTTTGGTGAGCCTGGCGCTTCCAGACTCTCTGAGAGAGATTGGGCGCAGAGCCTTCCGCGAGTGCAGTTCATTGAAGAGCCTCACCCTTCCGAGCTCCGTGACCGAAATCGAGGGCGGCGCCTTTTACGGCTGCAGTTCTTTGACGAGCCTGACGCTTCCTGACGTGACGGAAATCAAGGTCCATACCTTCCGTGGCTGCAACTCCTTGAGGAGCGTCACGCTTCCTAAGTCTTTACTTGCGATTGGGGGTGGGGCCTTTCATGGCTGCACTTCCTTGACGGAGCTCACCATTCCAGACTCTGTGATTTGGATTGGACCAGAGGCCTTCTTTGGGTGCAGTGCCCTCGGCCTGACACTGCCGGACTCTGTGGCTGAAGTCGGACATGGCGCCTTTTGTGGGTGCGCCTGCAGCCCGCCCGTTCCGGAAAGTGATGGTGGCCTCGCCAGCTTTGATTGACCCAAGGACATCTTCGAAGTATCCGAGGGAAAGGCTGATATGGGTATGGGTCAAAATTCAACCACCAGGATTTGGACCGCAGATTTCAGTCCATGTTTCCATTTATTCGGGTAGCCCATGTTGGGGTTACCCTATTCGTGAACCCCCCACCCATATGCGCAAAGCCGGCACCACATCCCGGAAAAGTAGCGCAGCATGTTGCCGCGTTGCGCGTGCAATCGGAAGCCAAAGGCTCAAAACCGAGGATGTTTCATCAGAAGGTGCGATGCACTCTTTCTTTGTTGTTCAGGTTCAGGTTGGGGGGACCTTTGGTTCATTGGGGGTCGCTTAGAGGTTGGCTGTGGCCTGATGTAGGGTGTGTTTGACTGGTTCTATAGTGGAGTTAGAGCGTTATTGGGGTTGGTTTGTGGTTGGTTTGGGGTCGGCGCGTCAGCCTTGCGTTGGCGTTGCGTCACGCGCTTCTATTTGCGCTTCTCTTTGCGTTGGCCTAGCATTGGCTAGGTTTCGTTTGTGGCCGATTCTGTGGTTCAGGGTGCGCCGCTAGGGAGTTTATCTAGGGTGGATTTGTCGTTGGTACGCTGATGCGGGGATGGTCTAGGGTTGGTGCAGTTTTTTTGTTTCTGGTTTGTTGCTTTGGGCTGGATTTGGGGTGGAGCTGGGGATTGATTTAGGAAAGGTTTCGGCCTGTCTCGGGTCAATCTGTGAATGGTTTGTGTGTGCGTGTGTGTGTGTTTGTTTGGGTGTGTCAAGGGTTGATTTATGGTGTCACTTTAAAGTTAGTTTAGGCATCTGTTTTTCCGTTAAGGCTTGATTTAGAGTTGAATTAGAGCGCGGGTTCTGCTTGGCTTTGAGGTGGTTTTCGGATGGGATTCGGATGGAGTACGGGTTGGGCAAGAGTTGGTTTAGAGCAGGGTCTGTGCTTGGTTTGGAATGTCAGTAGGGATTAGGGGCAGATACGTTTTCTGAGGGGTGGCGTTTGATTTAGGGTGTACTTTCGGACTTAGAGAGGACGTTGGGCTGAGTTCAGAGCGGTGCTTGGTTTGGCTCCAGGTTGTGTTAAGGATTGATAGAGCTTAGTTTAGGGTTAGCTTTCAGGGTGGCAGGGCTTCAGCTCTTAGGATGGATTTCGAGTTGGTTGTTTGTTGAAGGTTGGTGGTGTTGGTAAGAAGCCTAAGGCGATCCCATATGAGAAGCGTCCCATGTACACCTTCTACGAGAAGACAGCAGAGGAAGCCGCCAAGGAGCATACTGCACACTCAACAGTTGGCGGCCACGTGCGTGCAAGCAGAGCTTGCTGCACTGCCGTTTGCAGGAGCCCATCATTAGACTGCCGGAAGACAAGCGAAAAGTCACCATGACGGCGTCGAGCAGCCATGTTAAAGATGCCAGTAAAATCATTCTGCAGGGAGCATCGCAAGTGTCGCTAGAGAGCAGGTTCATGAACGCTGGCATGTCAAACAACTGCTTTCGCCAGGACATTCCATCTTACCAGGCATCCAGCGAGTGGGACTGATGTGCTCAAAGGCCCGGCGCAACGTGATGCTCTTGGAGCTTGGCTGATCGTACGGTGAGTCCGTTGCCAGGAAAGATTCCTCCTGCCGGCGGCGTCAAGGTCTTCGCCGCAGAGCCGGGCCGCCCATTGTTCCGCACTGACCAAACGCGATGAAGCGCTGATCTGCGCAGTACATGGCTGGACAAAGACCACCTGGGCATGAAGGATCCAACCCTGAGACCAGGGGATGCCGATCTGCAGGAGCCAGGGGAGCCAGGGGAGCCAGGGGAGCCAGGGGAGCCAGGGGAGCCAGGGGAGCCAGGGAAGCCAGGGGAGTTGGGGGAGCCAGGGGAGCCAGGGGAGTTAGGGGAGCCAGGGGAGCCAGGGGAGTTAGGGGAGCCAGGGGAGCCAGGGGAGCCAGGGGAGTTAGGGGAGCCAGGGGAGCCAGGGGAGCCAGGGGAGCCAGGGCGATTGGGCTTAATCCTTCGGTTTTGATATCAATCCGCGCTGCGGGTGAAATGCTGCCACTATTCGTCCGGCATTGTGCGAAGGAGACAATCAAAAAGAAGGCGGTGATGGATCCTCTTGCTGACGTTGAAGAGGCCTTCTACCAGATTTGCAGATGGTGAGAACACGAACCGTTTGCCTGATTCAGGACCCCGAGCCTTCGCATGAGCCAGCGGTACGCCCAACTTCAGCTACCTCCGTAGCGTCCGTGCCGGCATCGGTGGCAGGCTCAGCTCCAGGTGCATGCGTGTGTGACGTGTGGGAGAGAGCCGCCTGTGGAGTCAACTTGCGCTGAGAGATCTTTTTGGCGCCACTGGCAATCGCGGGCATCAAAACGTCTAAACTGGTCACCACACTGCTTTGCTCAGTCACCACACTGCTTCTGAACAGCGTGCAACGGAATTCAGCGATGTGCAGCGTTCCGGAAGGAAAACAGCTTGTAGAAACCGGTTTTCCAGGGATTAGGAGCAGCCCAGGATGCTTCGGAATCGAAGACAAAGAAGGGTGGCAAGAAGAAGAAGTTGGGCTCCTAGCACCAGCCTGCCAGTATGCCCACGCTTCAATCAGCCTGATTTCGACACTTGCAGCAACTCGGCACGTGTTGCGACCAGCCCTTGGGTAGTTGCCCTGCCTTGCACTTGTGGTCTTCTTCTTTTTTTTTTTTTTGAGATTCTACTATAAAAGAGCTGCTTTTTTGAGTCATCCCTTGACTCGGAGTCTTAGAGCAGCTCTTAGGGATGACTCCGAGTCGCCAGCCGGGCACTCAGAGTGCCTCTGGAAGCCACGCAGCCGGCCACGTGGAGCTCCAAGGGCGCCGCAGGCGCCGCGGCCGGCAAAGAGGCCGGCCGGCGGTTGTTCTACAGGGCTCCTTAAAAGAAATCTCCATTTGGCTGTGGTTGTCAAAACCAATGGGATCCCATTTTGGGGGTTTCGGTGCACCACCCATTTTAGAACCTATTTTAGTGGGGATTGGGATGTTTATTGGGGGTACGGGAGTTTGACCCATGGCCATTTTGCAACCAATTGAAACATGTGGCTTTTGTCAACACCAAAATAAAGGGGTTTCCCACCATTTACAAGTTGCAATGTTCAGGTGTATAATGTAAGGATCCCGGTTCTACCCTTCGAGGATTCTTACGGCAATGCCGAAAATGTCTCAAAGTGTTTTCTTGGTGGCTCCCAGCCATCCGGTTCCTTAGCTTTTTAGCCTTTTGGTGTTTAGTGGTAGTTTCCATTTAAGCCAGTAAAAGTTAAACTTTTAGCGGGGGATTTGAGGGCAGCCCAGTTTTCTTTTTCTGGGTTTGCAGGATTTGCAGGATGCCAAAGTGAATGCCAGGCGGACACAGGATCCAAAGCAGGCTCCCTTGAGGTGTGGGCCTTATTTGCTTCAACATGCCCCGCATGTTTGAACATGTTGTAACATGATGATAGTCGTGCCACGAAGCCGTTGCTTCGGTTTGGATTCATGCTTGACTGCTACCTTTGGACAGGACGCATGGCCGGTCCCTTGCACACAGTCACAAACGCACCGTCAGGACCCCGCAGATCCGGAATCAGATGCCGGCAAGACGGCAAAGCCAAAGAAGAAAGGCGGCCCAGCTGTGCCTTTCTGCTCCCTTCCTTTTATTCCTTTCAATCTGTTACTCCTGTCTACCCTTCCGTCTGTCTTCCTTTTCTTTCTGTCTGTCTGTCTGCTTGCCTGCCTGCCTGCCTGCCTGTCTGTCTGTCTGCCTGCCTGTCTGTGTGTCTCTGTCTGCCTGCCTGCCTGTCTGTCTCTGCCTGTCTGACTGTCTGTCTCTGTCTGTCTCTGTCTGTCTCTATCTCTCTCTGTCTGTCTCTGTCTGTCCCTGTCTGTCTCTGTCTGTCTCTGTCTGTGTCTGTCTGTGTTTGTCTGTCTCTGTCTGTCTCTCTCTCTCTGTCTTGTCTGCCTGCCTGCCTGCCTGCCTGCCTGTTTGTCTGTCTCTCTCTCTCTCTCGCTTTCTTTCTTTCTTTCTTTCTTTCTTTCTTTCTTTCTTGCTTTCTCTCTCTTGGCACTTCCGCCGTTCGAGATGTAACTGTCAATGATTGCAAGTCTTGCAGCCAGGCGGCAAAAAGAAAGGTGTAGCCACAGATGAGATGGGCTTGGGCCCTGAAGCAGCATTCACGTGAGCCTGCTTTGCGTCAGCTCAGGTCAGACAGCTGAGAGCTTTGCTAGCGTGGCAAGCGCGACAACAACCAGCATTGCCTCTGCTGCCACGGTGCGCCAAGCCCGTTGCGAACATGCGCGGGACAGTGCGGTGAGGATGAGGAGGACTCCCCGAAGGCCAAGCGCAAGCCCAAGGCCCCAGCCTTACCTCAGCTTCAAATTCCATCTGTGGAGACCGATGGCTCGATCTGCAGCTTGGGCACATTTGATGGCATTCCACAGGTTTGCATCTGACGTTTCCCTTGTTGCAAGCATGACCGTGGACGGGAGTGAGCATACCTCAAGATTCTTGAGTGGGATACCGCGAATTTCATGACACAGCTGCGAGCATGGGCAGCTGGACGTGGCATCGTGACTCACACAGGCGGGACGGGATCCTGTTGCCCGCCATTCGCTTTCGACTGCTATCTTGTTCCCAAGTCACACTTCTTCCTGACTTCGGCAACATGGCTTTGGCAAAACATCACCTGCTTGTGGCCAGGTCTATCATTCTATTCAACAACTCCCACTGGCAGAGGGGTTCGAAGCTTCACTTGAAGTTGATTTGGCTGTGGGTGAAAACCAATGGTACATTCTGGGGTAGGTGAATTCGCCTCCCGTTTCAGAACCTATTTTAGTGGTTGGATGGAATCGAATGTTCACTGGGGGTACGATTTGGAAATTGACCCATGGCCATTTGGATCTTGGGAGAGAACCGCCGGCACACCGAGGAGCCTCGGAAGAGATCGAGTCCGACGAGCTTCTTTGCCTGGTGCCTCTGGAGGCAATGGGAATGGACCGCGTTTGCCGTCACTGCCAGCTGGGTGTGTGTCAAGCATAGGTACCCAAAACAGAACCGTGGTAAATGGACACATGGACGAAAACGTGCGCTCCCTTGTGTGTGTGTGTGTGTGTTTTTGTTGGGGGTCCCTTTCCCTTTAAAACCAAGCCCCAAAAGGGTAGGCTCAAAAAACAGTGGAATGCGGGGGAAGCTGCTTGATCCAGGCCTGTCCTGGCCATGAGCTTTGGACGCTCGAGTCTGACTCCAGCGCGACGCGGCAAGCATGTTCTGTGGTTCAGGGCTGTGGTCAGGTGCCGGGATGCAAAGAAGAAAGGAGGCTACAAAGACATGGGATGCGATGCCTCAACAACACAATGGTTGATCTCTTCCAACGCTTGCCTGCAAAGTTCTTCGGAATGGTCAGAAAAACATCCAACATTCAAGGGGGGCCTATTCAAAGGAGCACTTTTGTCCCTGTGTTGCCCTCCGTCACGTGCATCGACTTGTTTGGGAGACATGCCTTCACAACCGTGACGTCATGCTCCACGAATGCAAGTTGCTACTTGTGTCACAGGAAACGGTTTCCACCGGCCCCAACATATGGCTGTGGCTTGGTAAATGGAACCAAAGACTCTCATTTGCGCAACCCTAGCTCTTAAATTTTGAGCCACCCCCACAGGTCTTAGCCGGGTTCACTAGTTGCACGATCCGGTAGGGTTCATGGGGCATTTGAGGACTCGATCGCTGGAGTTGTGGCTGTCCGCTTTGGCCGTGGTGTCCTGGGCTGCGCGCTGCTTCTTCTGCGAGAGCTTGGATTGGGCTCGAAGTCTCTGCATGATCCTTGCCCGAAATTCCAGTGAGACGTGTGCAGTTTACCTTCGAATCAAAACAGTCAAGCTCAAGTGCGAGCAAGTTTGTGAGGCACCGAAATTCCAGTGAGACGTGTGCAGTTTACCTTCGAGTCAAAACAGTCAAGCTCAAGTGCGAGCAAGTTTGTGAGGCACCGAAATTCCAGTGAGACGTGTGCAGTTTACCTTCGAATCAAAACAGTCAAGCTCAAGTGCGAGCAAGTTTGCGAGGCACCGAAATTCCAGTGAGACGTGTGCGGTTTACCTTCGAATCAAAACAGTCAAGCTCAAGTGACAGCAAGTTTTTGAGGCACCGAAATTCCAGTGAGACGTGTGCAGTTTACCTTCGAATCAAAACAGTCAAGCTCAAGTGCGAGCAAGTTTTTGAGGCACCGAAATTCCAGTGAGACGTGTGCAGTTTACCTTTGGATCAAAACAGTCAAGCTCAAGTGCGAGCAAGTTTGTGAGGCACCGAACTCCCGGTGAGACGTGTGCAGTTTACCTTCGAATCAAAACAGTCAAGCTCAAGTGACAGCAAGTTTGTGAGGCACCGAAATTCCAGTGAGACGTGTGCAGTTTACCTTCGAATCAAAACAGTCAAGCTCAAGTGACAGCAAGTTTTTCAGGCACCGAAATTCCAGTGAGACGTGTGCAGTTTACCTTCGAATCAAAACAGTCAAGCTCAAGTGCGAGCAAGTTTTTGAGGCACCGAAATTCCAGTGAGACGTGTGCAGTTTACCTTCGGAATCAAAACAGTCAAGCTCAAGTGCGAGCAAGTTTGTGAGGCACCGAAATTCCAGTGAGACGTGTGCAGTTTACCTTCGAATCAAAACAGTCAAGCTCAAGTGCAGCAAGTTTGTGAGGCACCCGAAATTCCAGTGAGACGTGTGCAGTTTTCCTTTGGATCAAAACAGTCAAGCGAGCAAGTTTTTGAGGCCCCGAAACTCCAGTGAGACGTGTGCAGTTTACCTTCGAATCAAAACAGTCAAGCTCAAGTGCCAGCAAGTTTTTGAGGCACCGAAATTCCAGTGAGACGTGTGCAGTTTACCTTCGAATCAAAACAGTCAAGCTCAAGTGCCAGCAAGTTTTTGAGGCACCGAAATTCCAGTGAGACGTGTGCAGTTTACCTTCGAATCAAAACAGTCAAGCTCAAGTGCCAGCAAGTTTTTGAGGCACCGAAATTCCAGTGAGACGTGTGCAGTTTACCTTCGAATCAAAACAGTCAAGCTCAAGTGCCAGCAAGTTTTTGAGGCACCGAAATTCCAGTGAGACGTGTGCAGTTTACCTTCGAATCAAAACAGTCAAGCTCAAGTGCGAGCAAGTTTTTGAGGCACCGAAATTCCAGTGAGACGTGTGCAGTTTACAATTGAATCAAAAAAGTCAAGCTCAAATGCAAGCAAGTTTTTGAGGCACCGAAATTCCAGTGAGACGTGTGCAGTTTACCTTCGAATCAAAACAGTCAAGCTCAAGTGCGAGCAAGTTTGTGAGGCCTCACCGAAATTCCGGTGAGACGTGTGCAGTTTACCTTCGAATCAAAACAGTCAAGCTCAAGTGCGAGCAAGTTTTTGAGGCACCGAAATTCCAGTGAGACGTGTCCAGTTTACCTTTGAATCAAATCAGTCAAGCTCGAGTGCCAGCAAGTTTTTGAGGCACCGATTCCAGTGAGACGTGTGCAGTTTACCTTCGAATCAAAACAGTCAAGCTTGCGTGCGAACAAGTTTTTGAGGCTCCGAACTTCCAGTGAGACGTGTGCAGTTTACCTTCGAATCAAAACAGTCAAGCTCAAGTGCGAGCAAGTTTGTGAGGCCCCGAAATTCCGGTGAGACGTGTGCAGTTTACCTTCGAAGCAAAACAGTCAAGCTCAAGTGCCAGCAAGTTTTTGAGGCACCGAAATTCCAGTGAGACATGTCGAGTTTACCTTCGATTCAAAACAGTCAATGCTCAAGTGCGAGCAAGTTTTTGGGGCACCGAAATTCCAGTGAGACGTGTGCAGTTTACCTTCGAATCAAAACAGTCAAGCTCAAGTGCGAGCAAGTTTTTGAGGCAACGAGATTCCAGTGAGACATGCTCAGTTTACTTTTGAATCAATATACAGTCAAACTCAAGTGCGAGCAAGTTTTTGAGGCACCGAAACTCCAGTTTACCTGCGAATCAAAACAGTCAAGCTCAAGTGCCAGCAAGTTTTTGAGGCACCGAAATTCCAGTGAGACGTGTGCAGTTTACCTTTGAATCAAAGCAGTCAAGCTCAAGTGCGAGCAAGTTTTTGAGGCAACGAAATTCCAGTAAGACGTGTTCAGTTTACTTTTGAATCAAAACAGTCAAGCTCAAGTGCCAGCAAGTTTTTGAGGCACCGAAATTCCAGTGAGACGTGTCCAGTTTACCTTGGAATCAAAACAGTCAAGCTCAAGTGCGAGCAAGTTTGTGAGGCACCGAACTTCCGGTGAGACGTGTGCAGTTTACCTTCGAATCAAAACAGTCAAGCTCAAGTGCGAGCAAGTTTGTGAGTGAGGCACCGAAATTCCAGTGAGACGTGTGCAGTTTACCTTCGAATCAAATTAGTCAAGCTCAATTGCGAGCAAGTTTTTGAGGCACCGAAATTCCAGTGAGACGTGTGCAGTTTACCTTCGAATCAAATCAGTCAAGCTCAAGTGCGGGCAAGTTTGTGAGGCACCGAAATTCCAGTGAGACGTGTGCAGTTTACCTTCGATTCAAAACAGTCAAGCTCAAGTGCGAGCAAGTTTGTGAGGCACCGAACTTCCGGTGAGACGTGTGCAGTTTACCTTCGAATCAAAACGGTCAAGCTCAAGTGCGAGCAAGTTTGTGAGGCACCGAAATTCCAGTGAGACGTGTGCAGTTTACCTTCGAATCAAAACAGTCAAGCTTCTGCGAGGAAGTTTGTGAGGCACCAAAAGTCCAGTGAGACGTGTGCAGTTTACCTTCGAATCAAAACAGTCAAGCTCAAGTGCGAGCAAGTTTGTGAGGCACCGAAATTCCAGTGAGACGTGTGCAGTTTACCTTCGAATCAAAACAGTCTCTTTCTTTTTTGTGCTTGTGTTTTTGTTTGTATTCTTATTTTTTATTATTATGTTATTGTGTGCTTCTATGTTTGTCTATATTTTTCTTTCCCCGAGCAAGTTTGCGAGGCACCGAAATTCCTGTGAGACGTGTGCAGTTTACCTTCGAATCAAAACAGTCAAACTCAAGTGCGAGCAAGTTTTTGAGGCGCCGAAATTCCAGTGAGACGTGTGCAGTTTACCTTCGAATCAAAACAGTCAAGCTCAAGTGCCAGCAAGTTTTTGAGGCACCAGATTTCCAGTGAGACGTGTCCAGTTTACCTTCGATTCAAAACAGTCAAGCTCAAGTGCGAGCAAGTTTGTGAGGCACCGAACTTCCGGTGAGACGTGTGCAGTTTACCTTCGAATCAAAACGGTCAAGCTCAAGTGCGAGCAAGTTTGTGAGGCACCAAAATTCCAGTGAGACGAGTGCAGTTTACCTTCGAATCAAAACAGTCAAGTTTAAGTGCGAGC